AAAAAAATTCCCGGAAAAAATTTGAAAAAAATTCCCGGGAAAAATATCCACCCATTTTGTTGTGGTGAACCTTCAATGCAAAGGTTTACTGCGCCCTAGCTCCAGAATGTGCGTCGCACTCAACGAATTATAGCAGGGTTGGAATTAGTTTTGTTCCCCTAATATATTTGCCAGTTTGTGAAATTTGGCACTTCAGGCATCTTCAGGCTGGTCTTGAGGACGAGGTTGATATTCTATCTGACCCGTGCGTTGACGCTTACCATGTTCCCGTAGCCCATATAGCCCGGTTCTCTAAGGATCTCTGACGGCTTTGCCGAGCTCTTCGGCTGGACGAAGCAGGAGACCGTCGAGCGAGTCTTGTGCTGTGTCCAAGGGTCGCGTGTGTGCAATGCCACGATGTTCAAGGTTCTTTTCAGGGAAGGTGAGTCCAGACCTGCAGCTTTGTGCCCGTGTGTTAGGCACCAGTTTGCATTTTGAAAAGATATTTTCAGCGTGCTCAAACTCATTGGTCAACGCCTGGTCTAGCCATGGCACAGATGGAGCACTACGTGAAATGTAGGGAGGAGCTCCTGAAGTTCATTGATGAGAACAATTGTGCTCCCATCATGGTGCGCTTAGCATGGCACGACAGCGGGAACTTCGACAAGCGCATCTCGTCCTGGCCAGAATGTGGGGGTGCCAATGGATCCATCATCCATGAGCCAGAGATCAGCTATGGTGCCAATGCTGGCTTGACCAAGGCCGTGAACTTCCTCAAACCCTTTAAACAGAAATATGCCGCAGTCAGCTGGGCGGATCTCATCCAAATGGCCAGTGCATGCGCCATTCAAGTCACTGGTGGCCCCATTCTGCCCATGAAGTATGGCCGTGTGGATGTTAAGGATGGCAGCGCTTGTCCAGGTCGAACCTCCCGTGGAACTGCGGACAATGCAGGCTTGCCTGATGCCATGGCACCTTTTGGCTGCGGAGCCAAACAACCTGCCACGCACTTGAGGAAGCTTAAATGCAACAGAGCTGTCAGCAGAGCTGTCAGGAGCCTGAGGCACTCTTCATTTGTGGCTTAAAGTAGGCAAGAAACAGCCTTGATCACAGATGTGCTGTACCCTGACCACTCCCACTTATTGCTGTGTCATGTGCATAGAAGGATACACTACATATGTTCTAGCAAGCCACTTGTAGCTGTGGGTACAAGTTCATACAAATTCTATTTCCGCCTCCTGGTTTTGCCCAGTGTGAGGTCGGGTGGGCGTGGGTTTTGCAGGTTTTCAAAATTCTTCTACAGAACCCCCGCTGGCGACACTGCAACCTTCAACCCACTATATACTGGTACCTTGCGTTCCAGCAGCTGAAACGGCTCATGCAGCTGTAACGACCTCGTCAAAGGCCCATGCCCTTTCGGACATTTTCACCAGTTGAACCGCCACAAACACGCGTTTGGTTTGGTCTCTTTGCCAAAGACTCCAAGCCTTGGAAGGGAAGTGCGCATCTCTGGCTTGATCCACCAGTTTTTTGAGTTGGGTACAAATACAGACTCGAACCGACTCTAAACCATACTGTATCCAATTGAACCACTCTCCGGATCAGTATACAAGGAACATTTTCCACCGCATGGGCTTCGATGACGAGGGCATCGTTGCTCTCAGTGGTGCACACACATTGGGCCGTGCCTTCCAGGCGAGCTGTGAGAGATTGGGTCACAGAGGGTCAATGGATGTCAGCTCCTTTCCTTGGTCCAGAGGCTCCAAGGTCTATCCGGTTCCAGTCGCTTTACAACTGGTGAAAGCGGCCGCTAAGCCGCCGCAGCTAAGAAGAGAGGAAAGCACTGCCACAGATCACTCCTTTGCTGATGGGTCCAGGCCAATGTCCAGACACAAAGTTCTCGGTTCCGAGACATTTTGCTAGCTTTCTTTTATCTCTTTCCGAAACAGTCTTTTGCTGGCCAGGAACGAAGTGGCGTGGTGGAGAATGGCTACGGAGATGCCAAGGTCCAACTTTGAAGGTTGTTCCATCAAATCGGAAGTCGGAACATAGTCTTAGAAGGAAGATTACAGTTTACATTTCCTCAAAAATCTACGAAGCAAATCACTAGTCCGAGCGTTCAGGTGGGGGAGCTTCCTTGAAGCGGGAGCTATCCTGCGTCCTAGCTAGGAGCTTACAGTACTCTCTTGATTAAGTAGGCGCCTACTTAATTAAGTAGGAATGGGCCAACAAAAATACATCCCAACCGACATCCCAACCGACCTGCACCCAGGCATGGGGTTTGAGGTTCAAGGCATGGGCTTCTTCGGCACAGCTGAGGCCTCACCTTACACCAAGTCAGGATGCCCTGTGCGCCATGATGGCAAAGCAGGTTTTGGGATGCCTGGTGGCAAGGCATGGACCTCCAACTGGTTGACGTTTGACAACAGCCACTTAGCATTGTCGAACACTTATTAAATATGTCGATGGATGTTGGTTGTGAAAGGGATTTCTTTGCAAGTTTGCATACAACATTACTGTTACAGTTACATACTGTTACTGAAACGATGTTGTGCTGAATTGGATGTTCTGTGCCATCTTAGCGGGTCTTAGCGTTGTTTACCCAATTCCATGATGTCCTGCGATTGAGGCTATTTCCAATTCTTGAAAAGATCGAAGGATGAGAACTTGCTTTGGCTTCCCACCGATGCTGCACTTCACGAAGATCCACAGTTTAAGGCTGGGATAACTGCTGGGCGTCCGGGACACGTTCCTGACTCTCATGAAATTCTGAACGAAAGAAAAACACCTAGTCATCCAACTCATGGATTTGTTTGTGCTAGTTGTGTGCTAGTTGTGGTAGAAGTTTTGAATGTCACGGTCACTCCAAAAACGGCAGGTCTACTTCGACCGCTTTGCAGATTCGAAGGATGCATTTTTTGATGCATACAGCAAGGCCCACACAAAACTGTCCGAGTTGGGCTCCAAGTTTGAGCCAGCTGGAGGCTGGACACCTTCCGCAGTGTGGAGTGTTGTGAAGTGCAACGAAGTTCGGTCGCTGCTCCAAACTCGTAGCCTATTCTTTGTCGTGGGGGTTTTAAGGTGGCCCTCTATCGCACCTCCCCCTTCTTGCGCCAGCCTGTGGGTCCGATCAGGCCAAATTGGCACTGGCCCCATTTTTCCTCGTTGCTGTTGCTTCTTTGATAAGAGTCCAACGTGTAGCTCAGTTTGCATCGAAGCTGTGGACTGTCATGACAGTTCTTGTTGAAACAGAGGCTTGTTCACAGACTATGTAACCTGTGGCAGGATTTTCTCTTCCTCCTGCTTCGAAGCTGTGAGCGGGCTGGTTGACCGCGCGTGTAACAGCCTGTAGCTGATTAGACTCGACTCAGACTCAGACCCAATTTCTAAAGACCAGTGCTGCGTGCAGAAAAGGTGAGATTCAAAGGCCTGGTGAGGATGCTCAGCAAATGAAGATCAACGCAAGCTCAATCAACGATCCACAACACTGCCTTGTTTTAAACATCTAGGCTATTCATCTAGGAGCCAAATAAATGGAGCGCGAGCTATCCTGCGCACTAGGAATTTACCTGCTTGCTTACTTGAGTAGACGCCTACTTAATTAAGTGCGAGCGGGCCAAAAAGCAATGAAGCTCCTGGAAGACTGTGTTGTTTGCGGCAGCTTACATAAGCAGCATTTGGAGGTACTTACACATTCACTATCATAGGTTCATCATAGGTTTGCGTGCTATTGTTGGAGCCTACCTTTTCCACAATGTATGTGACGGAGAAGCATCCTGTGCCTTTTGGTGCAGAAACCCTACCTGTGGTAGATCTGGAGGTTTCATGCTTGGATTGCTCGTCCACATAGACCACTTCGATCTTGTGGTTTGAGCACAAGCAAAGTGTGTCATCTTCTCGCATAGCAACAGATTGCAAAAGCTACTTTGAAGAAAGGCTGTGCGTAGGCACCCTACAGCACTGCGGAGGTTGGGCTTCTCTGTGGGCTCCCTAGTAGCCTCAAGCTGCTGGGCCTATCAGGAGCTTCAGGGCAAGCAAGTGCTGCGGCTTCTTTCAGCAGATCTTTGGACAAACTATGAGCTTGACCGCCGCTAGGCAGATCTAGAGCCTGGAACGACAGGCCTTGACCAGTCCTTCCTTGTTCCAACAGATAATATTATTTGGAACACAGAAGACACATGTAAATAAGAAAACCAGCTGAGTGTGGGATTGAAATGGGGCACTCGACCGAAGCCTAGACCTCAGCCCCGCAATTCTTTGGCATGGGATGTAGACACATTTCAGCTGAAACATAAACATCTATTGCAGAGACCAGGAATATGTCAAGCCACCCACGCGATCTCATTCAGATCATGTGCATGCATAATTCTCTTTTTCTCCTTAGCGAACTCTCTAAGGCACCTTCAACGAAGTTGTGGAGCAAGGCAAGCAGCAGAGCTATGCTTGCGTGCAACATGCCATGATTTCACGGGAATACAGCAAGACATGGAAGCACTCAATCATATTCAACCCATCTTTGCCGTTTGGTAACCAAATCAGAGTTCAGGTTCTGGTCCATGATTTTGCTTTAATATAAGCTATGTGACTCTGCCTTGAGTTCCGAAAATTGCTCTCAAATAGGTCTTAAGGAACAACGCCCATTGTGCTTCACAGCCCTGGTATACTCGCAGTCGAAACAGTCAGGTGGCAAGCGTACAGTGGAAGCTGCATTGCGATGCAAAACTGGGGAGCTGAACTACTGCCGGTTGACCATGGAAAAGGCCACTTGGTCTTGGCTCCTGGTCCTTGCCTCCTCCCTGGTCCTTGCATCGAACGGATTACAGTACATGTTGGGTTGCATCGAACCTTGTCACCAACGATGAAGATACACAAGGGGTGCATGTATGTATACGAGCCACGGTCAAAACATGCGAAGACCACTTTAGTAAAGAGGGGTAGGTTTGTGCACAAAACCCTGCAAAACGATAAGGTCCACCTCAAAACCGATAACCCCAGCGCTGTATATGGTCATAAGTATGCGACGAACTCAAAACGCTGTAAAACGATAAGGTCCACCTCAAAACCGATGACGTCCATTTTTTAGCTGAAGAAGAATAAGGAGTTTTGACCGTCCCAATATATATATATATATAAATATGTATGTACCAAAATATCAAACTAGTCAATTATTGCACTCAACCTTGGAAAACCATCGCAGGGTTGATTCTCTCAAATGTTTTGATGTAATTACGCGCTAGCGGCAAATCACTGCACACACTCAACTTTCATCAACTCCCAAGAGTTTCTCGATGTACATATGTCATATGGAAGCTTCACTCACTTGGCTCTTTGAACAAAAGGAAGAAACCTCATGAAGCCGAATGCAAGACGCTTGAAGCAGGACACTCTTGAATCTTGAAGGCCGCCCTCTCTTAAAGGACACTCTTGTGAGGACACTTGCGCAGCACTACTGCATGGCGCTCTTGTCTGCCACTCTTGAAGAACACTCTTGTGTGACACTCTTGTCAGATACGTTGCAGTGTTGATCACCTACCACAGCCACTAGGCCCAAACCTTTGGGCCCCCGGCACGATGTGGCTGTCAGCTTCCACCGCGAAATCTCAATAGTGCGGCAATGCACACCTTCACCAAGCTGCAACCTGCCAATCCAAACACTTTCAATACATGCAAAAGGGCAAAGTATTGCGCCTGGGCGAAAAGAGCGACTTTCAGCGCCTCCAAAGCACAACCCTGGAAATCCTAAAATCTTCATGGCACAGAGACACAGGCCAAACAGTTCAAACTCATTGGTTAAAGCCCCTTGAGCACTTTGAGAAATTGAGGCAGGGTGTTGTTGAGCTCCTGTCGAACCAAATCTAAATTCATTGTGTTGGAGCCGCAAACCCTCGTTTGCAAAGCTGAAACAGGGCAAAAACCTGCTAATTATCTTATAGACTTGGCAGGCAGCAAACAAACTGGTCACACAGGCAGACAAGTGGGGAGACATTCAAGGAGACAAGTGGGGAGATAAGGCAGCAGCGGCAGACAAAGTACCGATCATAGAGGCAGACAAGAGGGCAGTGGTTGACCAAAACACAGATCAGCCATCCAGTCGCTGAGAAGTCACAACCTCCGTAGCATTCAGCTATCTGGGACAAAAACACATCTGTTGCAGGATGAACACCATTATGCGAAACCACTGGCAAAAGGCAGGGAGTAGGGGCCAAGGAAAGGTCAGAAAGGTGACCAAACTTGACATGGCAAAAATTCAAGTGTGCTTCTATCTTTCCCTCTTGAAGAGAAGCATGTGTTCACGAAAGCCTTAAGGCAGCACACACACACATACGTTGGAAGGTTTCTTTTTGTTTGCTCTCTGGGCTATCGACCTTAGGTGACCACAGAACCGAACGGCATGCTCACACAGATGCTTTTGCTGATGCCACAAGATCTGGACCGAAATGGTGGGTGGGTAAGCTGGGCAGGCAAGAGAAGTTGACCAGGCGACAGGTTCTGTTTTCAATGCATCATGTCCCAGATTGGTTCATATGTCATGTGGTTAATGAATGATTATCAAGCAGCACGGGAGATTGGAGAGGCAAGAAGGTTGAATGCATCCAGCAGGCTTGAAATATCATAATTTTGGTCGGACGCAGGACTGAAACTTCAGACTGCAGCACATTTGTCTCGAGCTCGGGAATGAGAAATACATCAGCCGTTCTAGTGTGCATCAACATGAGTCTTTCGAGCATAGACTCTCTTTTGGTTCAAAGGTCCTTATTTGTGTTTCGATGCATGTTTATAAATGTGTGTTTGCTCATACAAAGCGCAGGCGCATGTGAAAGGCAGAAAGGTGCAGCAAGCAGCGCGCACTGCTGTACGGTACTTACTGCAGTTCAACGAGAGATTGGCAAAACCAAGAGAATTTCACTTCCAGCCTAAGGCAGACTGCACTGATTTTGCAAAAATTTTGGCTAGACTGCCAACAGCAGGTCTTGTACCTACGTATGCCAAAAATGACTGATCTCTTGTATGAGTAAGTCACAAGGCAACTGTTAGATGTTGATCGCTTGTATAAGTAAGTCACAAGATCCGAACAACTGTCCTGATTCTTTCTTCAATCACATTGCGGATCCTTGTCTGTGAGCCACGGGCACTTTCCTACAGAGGATGCGAACATCATATGGGGGCCCTTTCTATTTAAGTATTCTTGGAGGCGGAGTCCAGCGTGCTGTTCTTCAATCAAAATGATGTCGAAGTCAAGGCCTGTATTGGCTTTGAGAGGTGGACAATCCTTTGGACTCACTGTCCCCTCTCTGGAATTTGCCGAATTGAGATCTTAAGCCTTGGTCCATGGTCCAGATTTGCAATGCAGCATCATTCATCATGTTTATGTTGCGCACCTTGCATATGGCACCTTTACAGCAGTTGCATACCAGTACTTTAGAATGAAGTCAACGTGAGTTGATGATGCTGAGCTTTTCTGGCTTCTATTTTTTTTCAACACCTAGTTTCAAGCACACGGATTGCGCAAGTTGAGTGTAGCCTCTCTGTCCTACTGACTTCGGCTACGCTTGTCTCAGCACAGTGGCAAGACCGAACTACCTCTGTACAGAAAGTCCTCACGAGGGTGGAGGCGTGAATGGCATGACATGCAAGCAATGCAGAGGTGTTTTTGCCCATTGAAAATGGCAGAAGACCATCCCAATCGTCTTCATTTAGAGTATTATTTGAGCAACTCTTTTTCCCGCCGCCTCTCGCGAGGCAAGGAAGCTTTCTAAACTCCTTAGCCGTAGTCACTAAGAGGCTGTGGCTTGTGAATCTTCTCAATGACATCGGGTATTTCGAAGGGAGTGTGGAGATGTGCGCCAAGTTTGAAGTTTCATTGGTTGTCCGCAAGAGGTTTGCGGCCATGTTGTTTTGGACAAGAGAACAGGATTGCGAGTTGCATCGACAATTGACTTTCTGCATCTGACCGGTGCCTCAGTGAGCCTAGCTGGACCCAGTTTGTACAGCTGGTACATCAATTTCCCAAGCTCTTTGTGCCTGCGTTGGGACACCTAATCCTTGACTTTGATGTGTTTGCCATTCTTTTACATTCAGCAGCGCCCAAGTCTATCTATTTGCACGTCGTCCTTCTATTCTGCCCCCAAGACGCACCTGGCCCACCACCAGAGATGGCAACTAGCTACAAGTGCAGTTGGGAGATAATAGTTCTTTTTTCAGCGTTGGTCCTCTGGGTCTATCTCACATTGCTATGTTTGCCTGGTCTCTTATCAGTCTGGGGAGCTAGATGCTCGACTCGGACTGAAGCTACTTTAGCTTCCTTTGAACTAAAACAAGGGTTCTTCTTGTCCCTGCGAAAAGAGGAGTCTAAGGCATTGTATTATGTCAGACCAAGGACTCAATTTCAGCAAGGCGAGAAAGGCCCTCCATGGAGACATGTCACATATCTTTAGCGCACCACACCCCTGAAGTTTCTTAAGTGTTGAGTCACCATCTGCCAGAGAGGCCGCTGCATTTCAATTTCAATGTGACGCAATCCGGACATACCCAATTCGGAATCACTACTAAGAACCACCACAATTACCAGAACCTCAATTATCAATGAGTCGAGGTAGTTTGGTGTTCGGGCACTCCCAATGGATCTTTGCCATAAGCCTTTCGCATTTGGTTCCGCATGTGCTTCAAGAGCTTTCCACACACGTTCGGAATTGAAGCTGGCAATGTTCGGTGTTCCAGGTCGAAGAGTACTGTTTTTGTGTGTGTTTCTCTACCGGTTTGCCGCAATTATATACACAGGATGCAGTCTAAGGCGAGAGATCGTGTGAATGCACTATAGCTCAGGGCAAGCAGTTGTGGTGAGCTGGTTGTTTCACCATGTGTTGGGTGTGTTTGGAGGTGTTGCAAGGGGGTCTTTTTGACCCAATCTTTGCTCGATTGTTGCTCTTCGCAGCAGATCAGCAACAACTGCAGCTGGCATCTCTTTGGGCATGGTGTGCCACTAATTGGACCCGTCAGGAATCTGCTGAGCTCTGACTGTCTGTCTCAAGGCATCCCTTGAATCGATGCGCATTCAGCGATTAGCTGCGCAGCAGCTGTTGTTGGTATATAGAGCCATCTTCTTCCTCCCCTTCCTTCAACCTTCTCCTTCCTGACCAGGAATGAAGCTAGGTTGCTTCCAACACTACGATTGACCCTGTAGGACTTTCGATATCAGCCACTGAAGCAAGATTGACAACCAAGAGGTGAAACATATCTTCTTTGTTCACCCCGAAACCGTTCCCATCTTCCACTGAACTAACATGCAGTCAACTCGGTCACTTTCCTTGGGCAGGGCGAAGCTGATCCTGTTGGTGCCCTTATTCTGCAAAGTTGTGACTTGAAATGCTTGGGATGCTGAGCTAAACATCTCGGCGTCCGGAGCGGGTTTGCGTTCCGATCGAGTCAACCAAGAGCATCAAGTCAACTAGTGATGTCTATGCATCTCAAGGGTATATATATATATATATACAGGCAAAAGACAATGTCGCCACTCTTTTTGAGTGATTGCTACCCTGCCTTGGGCGGAAGGCTCCGCGGAAAGTCGCCTCTTTTTCTCAAACGCAAGCGAACTCTGTTGGTTGGAAAGGGACCTACTTTTAGGTTGTATGCTGGGGCTCTCATCCAACGGTGTTTTAACGCTGTACTGGCAACTCATAAGGGGTTAATAATGCCTGCTGAAGCAATGCGTTTCTTGTTCTGTAGTGGGTCCTGCAAGCGGTCCACAAGGAACTTTCCACATACATGCGAGACAAGTACAGGAAGCAACACAGTCATTTCCAGGCTTGCCAGTGCAGTTCGCAATGGAACACCTGTGGACTTGGACAGATTACGCCAAGATAGCGAGAGCTACTGGGAGAGCTAGTGGGGTTCTTATTTGCAGGGTGTTGCTGTGAGATGTTTGTGGTAGTGCGCGCTTTGCTGGTACCGCTTTTCTGCCACTGTCTAGGCTTGGCATAGTTTTTGGTCGGGGGTGTGCAGTTTTTGGACCTCGCCCGGATCTCGCCCAGAGCCATCATCCTCCTGCTGCTGCTGTTCGTGTGCTGCTGCTTGTGTGCTGCTACCTTTTTGCTTTGCTGCTGCTGCTTTGCTGGGTTGCTGCTGCTGCTGCTGCTGGCTGCTTTGCTCCTGCTCAGAGTCTCAGAGACTTCCAACCCTCTACCTTTCATCCACCTCCGTCGCCTCAAGTCGAGTCACCTGATGTGTCTAAAGTTGGTGGCAGAATTTCTACAGCGCTCCATTATTGGGATTGACACGCAGGAAGCGGATGTAAATCAATCAAACCCACACTCTTTCAGAACTAGCGTTCCATTGGTATTTGCGCTCTTTGGGTCGGCTTTTGTGGTAACAAACCTTGTTTGGGCATGAGCGTTCCATGGGGGTTGGCTCCTGGGGGTGACTGGGGGATGACTTTTTGGAAACAGCGTTGCCATGGTGTTTGGCATTGAAGCAGTGACCAGGGATGACTGAGGGGTGACTTCGTCAGGTGCCTGTATATACTGTAGTGGTTTTTGCAGGATTTTGCGCCAATATGTTTTTACATGTTCATTGCCGTTGGAGTTGAGCTCTTTGTTGGCAGGTGCTTTTCATAAGAACTACCGTATCGGTTTGAACTATCAGACTATCCCCATGCTCTCACCCACTTTTGCCGCAATGACGACGTGGGTGTCGGTTTGAAGCCTAGTGGTTCCAATGCATAGGCATTTGCATGGCGCTGGGGGCCTTTTTGATGACCGCTTTCTGAATCCACAGTGCCAAACAGAATCCAGCATTTCAAGGTTCCGCAGAAAAAAGGCTCGCAAAGGCCTGCGACACAGCAGCTATAGGTTGGATCGATGTTGGCAAGACTGCTTGTCTTCGGGTCCAACAACCATATATATATATAGTAGAAATGGTACAGCTGTCACCCGGCACCCCACCCCTTACCACCATTTGAACTCCTTAGCAGCTATCAGTGGGGCAGGTTTCAAACATGCAAGACACACACACATACAAGTAAATGTTTGAATCAGAGAGCTCAAATACATACCCTGCATCGAATGAATGAGCATCAAAAACAAGATAAAACAAAGATATCACACCTTCAGATGCAAATTCTTTTTGTTTTAGACTGGTCTATTGATACCTTAGGTTTTGCAAGGTTTTGTTGGGTTGGATCGGTTTATTGGTACTGCTTATTGCTTTGTGTTGATGGTTTGGATTGGTTTCATGGGCTTGCTTGAAGTTCCGTGATACTGCTTGGATGATCCTATAAGCAAGTGCCTTTTCGATTCTTGTTCGGTTCACGCATTCAGAAAATTGTTTTGGAATGAATTTGTTTAAGCAGCATGAGCATGCTGATGGCCCCAAAAGAGAATCAGTGCACAAAACAAAATGGCTGTTAGAAAGAACCCATCCTATGACAAACAATGAGTGTCACATTGGGCAGGGTTCTTTACTTTAATTTCCAAACATCATATGATAGTATAAATGCACTCTTGTTGTAGTATGCACGTTTCGGATTATGATCATATGGTGATCATATGCCTCTTGTGTGCTAAGGCTTATGGTAGAGCAAGGCTTGTTGCATGAAACACGGTTTTGTGCTGAGGCTCACGTGGAGGAAACGTTCTTATATATA